CGTTAATGATCTTTACAGAAGCAGGACATTGGCTGCTGTGGTCCCACTGCTTTATCTATGGCAGGTTAGGGTGTTACATCTTGTGTTGTGTCAGGATTGACTGTGTAGCTTTGCCAAGAGGTTAGACAATGCGTTGGGTTTGGATAGGAATAACCCTGCCTAAGGGAGTGGGAGATTGGATTAAATGACCTATCAAGGTCTTTTCCAGCCCTGCTACTCTATGATTTTATGACCCGGCCAGCACAGGGAACTCTTTCAGCTGTCACCGTGAATGCTGCTATCAAGACTGCAAGAATGCTTTCAGAATGAGAAAAGTGCATGTCTTTGCTACATGGCTACACACATATACTCTCCTTGGTTTCAAAGGCGCACATGCCACTCCTGACCAAGCCTGCAACCAAAAAAACCCCACTTTCGTGGAGAAAAAGGCCCTGACTCAGCAGAGTCGACCTGAGCTTGCACTGGGCTTTGCATGGCTCCCTGGGAATGACTGCAATGGTCAGATCAGGGTTTATATCAGGAAAAACCAGCGAGCAACTCAGAACATGGAGGCAGAACGGACACTGCTCTCCACCCTTACCCAGAGCAGCTACTGCTACACCTACTGCATTTCTAACCCACCAGGCAAGCAGACTTCACAAGTGGCTCGCCGCAGAAGACGTTCTACTGTAAAAACTTGACTCACTTCAATGATTGATTTTCAAAACATGCTCCTTTTTAATGTACAAAACAATTCTCCCACACAGTCTATTTAATTCCCAAAGGTCAGAAAAGGCTTTTTCTTACCCTTTATTTTTCCCCCCTTTTATTTTCCTTCATCCTTTGCATTAGACCAAGTCTTGAAAGCTTGGCTTTGAAAGATTTGACTTCTGAGACAGTTGCGAATGAGTGAAGTGTGGTGGGGGCAGATCAGGACTGCAAAAGGCTTTGCAAAATAATAATTTGCAACGCAAACATACTAATAAACCCTGTATATCTTACAGTTGGTTAAGAAACACCGAGGAAGGTACGTTTTCATCTCTTGGAAGCCAGCCTAAGATAGCAGTAGCTGGCTGCTAAGCTTTTAGCTACTGCCAATGTTTCCTGAACTGGCTGGGTGGTATGAAAGAAAAAATGACCTTTGTTGCAGAAGACAGAAAAAGCCCCTAAATGCTCCATATAGGTAAAAAGGTATATTTATAAAGAATCCCAGTTACTCTGGAAGCAAAGTCATTATTAAGCAGAGTACTATACCTTCTTCAGTTGGCTTTCATATTCCTCACGCAGTTCCCCTGGTTTGCTTAATTTGATGGGTGCTCTGAATATAAAGTCTGGAGAGAAAAGGGGGAGGGGGAAAAAAGGAGGAACATACTTTAAAAGGTACAATACTTGGAGATATTTTCCTTTATTCTTAAAAATGGCTAGCTATACTGTTATTTTCCATTTCAGTAACTGAAGTTTGACTCTATTTAGACATACAAGGTTCTACAGCATTTCCTTGACCGCATACATTTTGTATTACAACCCTGTTCCAGAGCTGTGTGTTAATAATACACAAGGTATTCAAGCTGCCTTCGTTACACTGCTCTGCTCCTGCAACAGCACACACAAAACCTTTTGAAGGGAGAGTGCCATTTAATAACTTCCATAGTTTTACCCTGCCTTACTTTCTGCCTGTCTTCAGACTAACACGGCTAATCACCTCTTGCACAATTCTTATCGTGATTCTCCCAGTTGCTTACTAACAATTAACCACCACAACATCCCACACAGGACTTAGTTCCATGTTACAAGCAAAGAGGGTAAGCAGCTTGCCCGAGACGTCACAATGAATCAGTAGCAGAGCCAGAAATAGCAACAACAACAATAAAATGTGCATTTTATTAGACTAACTCTAGCAAGGCCATCTACACCAGCAGCATGATATTCTCATTCCTGGATCCCTTTCTTCCACTTAAATAAAGGCATGAATCTAATCATAATATAAATACTTGTTTAAGCAAGCTGTTATATTTATCAGCACACCTACTAGATCTACCTACCATCCACCTAGCCATTTTACACTATCAGCTTCTCACAAAGCAACTTTTTCAACTATAATTAGCAAACAAAGGTTTTCTTTTCCTTGCACTGCGCTGGGTAACTTCAGCATTAAGTCGAACAAACAGTTTACTTTTAATCTAGAGCAGAAAGGAGGGGAAAAAAAAAAAACTAACAAGAAATAGAAAGTAAACATATTTAGGATATTGGTAAACAGTTACTTTTTGGCTTCCTTTCCAATGTTTTGCTACGGGCCAGCTTCCTTTATGCAGCTCCTAATGTCATCTTTAGAAGTTTCCACCTATTTTTGCAAAGCACAAGTCTGGACATGCCATACTTTGCAGTCAGAGAGCACGTTACAGTCATCCCGGAAAGGAAGCAATCTGACAAAGCTTGCATCCTGCAACCTCAATTCACCTACTTGTTATTATGAATTCAACAACGATCCATCATATTAGTATAGGCAAGCTCTAAATACAGGGGATGCGGACGGATGAGAAAAATGAGGCAACAGAAATGTGCTTTTCTTTGGTCATCATCTCCCAGCCCCAGCAGGAAGAAAAAAAAAAAGTTTGTGACTTGAAAGAAATCATACACCATAAAATTCACTGAGCCGGCATGTTTAACCCTCAAAGATAAAAGGGTGCATACTGTCCAAAGGGCACACACTTGTCTAAAACAGAAAGTTCCTTAAATAGGGTTACCGTTTGCCTGGGTTTTCCTGGACACATCCTCTTTTTTGGCCCCCTGTCTGGGAGGGTATTTAAGATGTGAGCATGTGTGGGTGTGCGCATGCACGTGCACATGTATGGGAGCTGCATGGGCAGCAGGGCTGGGGGTAGGGGGCTGCGAGCTGGGAATGAGGGGCACTGGCAGCTCAGGGGGGGCAGAGGCTTAGAAGTGAGGGGCAGAGGCTAGGCATAGGCATATCACTGCTCCCCCCCCCATCAGATACCCCCCATAGGTGTTCTCTTTTTAAATACTGGAAATATGGTAACCTTACAACATAAGTAAATTAAAACACAAGTCTCTAGCTGTTTGCAACCAAATCTTTTGCATCTGATCTTGCCTATCCATACAGTTATACAACTTTCTTGTTTGTGCACTACAAAGTTTTACTTAGGCTTAAAAAACAAAGACCTCCCCCCCCCCCCCCCCCCCCCCC